ACATGGAACCAACCATGCTGCCCATCAAAGCTGGACTGGATTTAAAAAGTGTGGTACATATACACAGTGGAATATTATGCAGTCATAAAGAAGGACAAATATATGGACTTCGCAGCAACTTGGATGGATTTAGAGCCTATCATACTCAGTGATCTATATGTTCTCACTCTTAAGCAGACCTTGAACAATTAGCATAATACTGTAAGAAAGGATTGGTAGTAGTGGGAAATTGCCAGGGGAGGGGGGGAGTGTGATTGGCAGTTGAAGGAAACTTCTAGGGGAGGGAGGAGCACACCTCATCAACAAGGGTACCTGCATAATGAACATTTGTATACCTAACCCCAAATTGTACCCCACCTCTTTAAAATAAGAACAAAAAACTAGGGTACCTGCATAAATGAACATTAGTATAGCTAACCCTGAATTGTACCCTATATCTTTAAAATAAATTTTTTTTAAAAAAAGAGAGGGAAAAAAAGAGCTGGTATATAAAATTAGATGTTAGAAAGATTCCCAAAAGAAATTACACTGCAGATTCCAAATATTCTCTTTCTTAATTAGCAAACATGCTTCTTAGGCTATCATATTCTTAGGATATTAACACATTTTTAGAAATTTGGTTATCGTAACTTCGAATGGCCAATACAGAAGGAAAAAAATGAAAGCAACTTCAACTACCCCTAAAGGTTATAAGTAATAGTGTTAAATTACATGTATGTCATGGCAATGATATACTAGGAATGTCAAAATGAATCTTTTTGCAAAATTGAGTCCCTGGTCTAAACTGACAGGTGAAAAGCAATGTAAGAAGTTAAGTAATATGAACAGAATAACTATGAACACCTTTTTTATGCTTCACACCTCTTACTTTTCTTGATTTATCCTATTTTTAATCACGTTTACTTTATTTACCCATTATAAATGAAACCTTCTAATGATTCAAAAAAACAAAGGTTTAGAAATTTTAATGAAAAAAAAGCAAATCCACCCAAAGTCCTAGAATCCAGAAGTGATATGGCCCACTACTGCCATGGTTGCTCATTTTTTCCAAGCCTTTAAAAATGCATTTTTTGATCATTGTTTACATACCATTTATACTTGGTTTGATATTTACATAATTTTTAAACATAAGCATTTTTCTAAGCTATTGACAATTCCTTAGATTTTTTTTTTTTTTTTTTTTTTAAGAGACTGGGTCTTGCTATGTTACCCAGGCTGGTCTTGAACTCCTGGGGCTCAATCAGTCCTCTCATTCTGGCCTCCCAAAGTGCTGGAATTTTTTTTTTTTTTTCTTTTTTGAGTTGGAGTCTCACTCTGTCGCCCAGACTAGAGTGCACTGGCTGCTCCCGGCCACGCAGCCTCGACCTGCTGGGCTCCGGCGATCCTTCTACCTCAGACTTCTGAGTAGTCGGAATTACAGGCATGCGCTACCACGCCCGGCTGTTTTTTTGATTTATTGTAGAGATGAGGGTCGTCAAGTTGCCCAGGCGGGTCTCGAACCCTCAGGCTCAGGCAATCCACTCACCTCAGCCTCCCAAGGCGCGGGATTACAGGCTGAGCCACCACAGGCCTGTGCCACCATGCCTGGACAGATACATTTTTTTTTTTTTTTTTTTTTAGTTGGAGTCTCACTCTCTCGCCCAGGTCGGAGTGTCTTGGCATACTCACGGCTACTCCAGCATTGACTTGCTGGGCTCTGGTGATCCTCCCAGCTCTGCCTTCCAAGTAGCCGGAACTACAGGCGCGTACTACCATGCCCGGTTAGGTTTCTAGAGACTTGTAGAGATAAAGTCTCACCAAGTTGCCCAGGCTGGTCTGGAGCCTGCGGGCTCAGGCAATCCACTGGCCTTGGCCTCCCAAAGTGCTGGGATTACAGGCTGAGCCACCAAGCTGGGCCCAGATACATTTTAATGATTCTATAATGATACACAACTTGCTTAGGTATTCATCTAATGAACACTTAGTTTATTTTAGTTTTTTCACTATTATCAATCAGGCTACAATGAATGTCTTTGTTGTTTAATTCTCTTTGGCATCTAGCTGAGAAGGCAACCTTGTGGTAACATCCCTCTGTTCTGTTTTGATAAGAATATGTCTACTGTGTAATTAGCATCAGTCTTTCCATTTAGTCTTCCTTTTTAAAATATTTTATGGCATTGCTAAAATATTATAGGATTTCTTGCTGTAAAACTTGGGAAAAAAAGCAGGAAAACATTGCATGCTATCAGATATACTCTAGGCTTTTCTATGGATTAGTATTTTTTTTAAATCTCATATTACTAAAAGATGGATATACATCTCAGTAAGAAATCAGTTCTACTAGAATACATCCATGTAAGCCTACTGTAACAGTGTTTTACTACCCCCTACTAACAACATAGCAAAAAAAAAAAAAAAAAAAAGCAGCTGAATAAAAAAATGTTTGAGGCCACAAACACTATAGAATCTCACAAACCTTATATTTTATTAAGGAGCAAGCAGAATAAATGTCTTGCAGATTATTCTGAACTGCTGTATTCTATGATATATTCCAAGAAATTTAATTTTCAGTAAGGGATTAGGACTGTTCATTCTTCTGGAAATTGAAAATAAAATAAATCTCATTATGAAGCTGTGAACCGTTTTGAGGAAAACGAATATAAAACAAAGTGACCTTTAATGTCCTTTTCAAGTCTGAAGTTCTATGAAAACACCAAGGTTAAAAAAATGACATGATTTAATGACCAAAATGTTTGCAATGGCATTATTAAAATTTTCTAAGCTATCTAATCCTGAATCCAATACATTTTCATTTTGTTTGTTGTACTTCAGAATGCTTCATGTCTATTATTTTGTTTCTGTTTTGCCATCCCTGCCTATCATTCATAGACTTCTGAATTATTACCAATCAAGCTCCCGTAGGTCATGTTTTTTAGCATACAATCCAGGTAAAGGTATGACAATTTGCTTATCAGCTATGTATACCATTTATACAGCTTGTATTAATATTTATACACTGTAAAATTATATAACATAAGTGAAAAAAGTTAATATTAGGTATAAATACAAACAGAGGTTTAAATATCTCGTATTGTCCCCTGTGAATGGCTTTGCACACCCTTGGGTTATATTTTCCATTCTAAGAACTGACCCAAGCTGTTGTAAGAACTTGAAAATTAGTCTCTCGCCCTCTTTTCCACCCTTTTTCTGTTCAATCTCAACTTATCTGTCGGTGACCTTTTTCAAAGTGTAAATCTGACCATGTCAGTCATGCTCTTAAAATTCTTCTATGATTCCAAATTGACAAAAAGATAAAGTAGAAACTTCTTAGATTATGTAAGGACTTTCATTGCTTAGTTTTCGTTCCTCATTATTGATTTATGTTCCAGTCAAAAAACTACTCAGTTTTCTGAAAATGAATAACATACTCTTCATACTTTTAATTTTTATTGTAAATAGTGTTTCTTTTAACCAGAATGTTCTTCCTTTGGTTGACTCGCCTACTGATATTTAATCTTTGCGATTTAGCCCAATGGTCTTTACCTCTATGATATAATTTCTTGATATCTTTTACCAATTCTCTATTTCTCCCATAGCAACTATTTTCTTGTGTTTTAATTATTTATTTACTGTATGAACCTAACTTTAAATTGAGATCCTAGGGACTAGCGATCTGACATATTCATCTTAGTACCTATTGCATCCTGATACACCTGTAGCAGCTGGAATAATGCCTGGTACATAGCAACAAATGTTTGCGGAATAAATGAATGAATTAATAGAAGTCCACGCCAAAATTACTACAGAAGACTTTACATATTCTGTCTGTTGGCAAATGCTACTTTACAAAAAGATTCATTTAGTTATAGAGCTATTACTAACTCAAGATCAAATATTCAGTTCTGGAGTGAAATCTTGAGCTTAAAATTTTATAACAAAATGAGCGATGGAAAAAGAACCCAATGGTAAAAACACCCAGTGTTTGGAATGTTCATACCAGTGTCCCTCCTGTCCAGCAAACCTGACTACTGTTTAAATAATGACTGGATTTTGAAGGCTATTCACTTTGAGCTTTGACATATGACAATGGTATAAGGTCAAAGATTTTCACCTAACTAATGTTTGTAATTGATCTTTAAAGCCTTTAGCACCTTTGAAGGTTTAGCTCTATTCCTATTTCATTTAAACTTTAAAAATTATTAATTTTGTATTTTTATTAAGTTCAAATTTAACACTTGTTAATATGACTTTTCTCCTTTAAGTTATGATGCAATGTTATATTGATTTAGTGTCCAATATTGAACCATCTTTGCAATCTCGTACTATACCTTTCTTGGTCAAGAATATTATTCTTCTGATAATGTATTATATTTGCTAATATTTCATCTAGATGTTTTGCATTTATTGTGATAACAGATAAATGGGTTACTGTTGTTTACAACTAAGGTAATTCTTTATTTTGTTTTAGAAATCTTTTGAGATAATCAATGAATCAAACTTTTCTTAAATATTGAATTTAGATATGGAAATACTAGCAATTCTATTAAGTCAGGAATCATGATAACTAACATTTATTAAGTACTTACTTTGTTCCAGTTACTCTTTTAAGTGCTTTAAAGAGGAAGTAGAAAGTATTATTATCCTCATCTTGGAGCAGAGAAACGGAAACACAGAGAGAGAAAATATTTAGGCTCACATAGAAGGTAAATTGTAGAATCAGGATTTGAACTCAAGCATTCTGACTCCAAAACCTATATTCTTTACTAATATGTGTTGTTCCACCATGTTATGGACAGAAACACAAATCTTAGGAATTATTTGTTCAAAGAGTTTAGCATAATCATTATTAATGACCTATGACTATTTAAATAATGTAGAATTTAAAAGAGAAATTCCTAACTACATTATTACTAGAGATACCATCTATTAATAATATGGATTGGAGAATGACCATATTTAACTATTAGAAAACTTAAATAAAAAATTACCAAAGTAATAATACTTTTTTTTTATCTTTTCAGCAATCTTGACACAGAAGAGCTATGTGGTAAGTTACTTTAAGACCGTTCAAACCCACTGGTTGATTTAGACAGAAAAAGAATATTGTCTGATATATTTATACTTATGTTGGAACTAATGTCATAGACTAGTTCTGAAATAAAATAAAAGATAAACAAAGATCTCAAGGAAGTTTTCTTTATTCTTGAGTTTTGCTCAAGCTTGTATTTCACTGCAGAAAGAGTTAGCCTTCATTAATTGTTCACGGAAGGAGAACTGTTATTATAGTCTGTTCATTAGTTTCACAAGAGCAAATTCTCCACCAGTTTGAATATATTTTGAAATTGGTGTTTAATACAACTTCATTATTCTCTTCACAATATATTGTGCAGAGCCTTTTGTTACTGTTTTGCAAAGCTGTCTCCTTTAAATGTAAAAATAACTTTCTCTCATACCTGCCTAAACCATTCCAGAGTTTTAAATGTCAGTTGCAAAACAAATGATTCAATATGGAGAGATAAGTTTTCACAAATGCTAATTTAATGGCCTCTTCATTTATTTTCCTCATCTTTGTGGTTGAAAACAGAAGTCAAATAATAGGAATATGGAAAGGTAAAATTTCTGAAATTTAGTATTTTAATAAAAAATTGTGGAACACTTTGAGGCTATTGATTTTGAAACAACTATATTTCTCTGACTACTGGAAAGTTTTAAGCTTTAAGCTTTAAGATAAATGTGTAAGGTAACCCTTTTATGCAAGTTTGCTATTATTGTCTAGGCTGCTCAAAACATTTTTGAAGGTTAGAGGTGAGTTTCTCTGGAACTCCATATTGAAACTGCAAACACATCCTGAATATGTTATAATTCTTACAGTTTTAGAGTTTACAAAAATTTTCAGAAGGGCCATTTTATTATATTCAAGCGTGGTTATTCTTCATTTCTTTAGTGGTAGAATAACACCAAGAGATGTTATCCAAGAACAAAAAAATCAAAATACAGAGTTTCAAGGCAATAATTCAGAACAAAACAAATGTATTCACTACCATAACCTTCCCAATTTTCCAACGGTCGCAGAAAACTCTGTGCTTTAAAATCAAAATACAGAGTTTCAAGGCAATAATTCAGAACAAAACAAATGTATTCACTACCATAACCTTCCCAATTTTCCAACGGTCGCAGAAAACTCTGTGCTTTCCTTGCATAGTATCCATTCTGGGTTCAGCCAGAAAAATCTGACTGAAAAGCAAGAAGTGTTTATGCAGAAGCAAAGTACTTTGTTATCAAAGCAGGTCATGCTTTTGTTAGTTATGAACCACCACCAGAAAAAAAAAACAGGAAAAATCCTACCATGCTTTCAGACACAATTAGGTGGTGGTACCATTCACATGCAACTGTTACTATGTCAAGGGCCCAAATGTATCATTGTCATAAGACTTTATGATGTATTTCAATCATCACAAAGGTCAAGTTGTGTTCCACCCTCATCCATGTGTAGATAGCCCTGGTCAGTGAAGTGGAGAGATGAAGTGGAGACCTGAAAAGATGATCTTGGTAATTTCATGAAGGTGAAAGACATATTTGCCTCAAATTCTAGATATGTCAAGCCAAAGTAATCATTTCCTCAAATCATTTGGATAAATTTGAGTTTGTTTTTTACTTAACTTTGCCTGGAGAGGCATGGTTTATGAGAAAAACAGTTTTAAGGGCTGTTAAGATAAAAACACTTAGTTGCTCTTCTTCGTTATCTGCCTGTTTACTGTCATTAAGGAATATTGTGTTGCTCTCTATCTTCCCTTAAAGATACTTCAAATTTTAAAGTGTGGTAGTGTATCTCCACTTACTCCTCTACAATAAAAAATTCACTACATATACCGTTTGAATATGTCTTTCTTCTATAATAAGGGAACGAGATCAGGTACCTATCCTGTATTTATTGAAAAAGCTTTGACTATAATTTCCACTCGCCTTCCATAGTTTTAGTTAGGGAACTTGTATATAGAGCTTTAATTCAACAGAATTGCTTTGTATGTTTCAAATCCAGTGATTGTATTCCCAATCATGTGTTATAATCCTCCCCCTCTCTGTTCAAGAATATGCATTTAAATCTCCAGAGTGTAGGTTCTTTTCTCATTATTTTGTGAATATAAAGCAAATATTTAAGGTGGATTCTAATCAAAGCCAAATGCTTCAGTGCTAGCAAGTGAAATATGTCAATTCACACCCCGCACAAGTTCCCCCTTGTGTGTGGGAGGGGCAGAACTTGATTGACATGAGAAGTAGATTTCATGTGCTCTTTTCCAGAGCCAAATAAAATTGTACGTGTCTAAAATTTTCATTCTGTTACTTAATTTGTCAGTTTACTAAGTTATGGATGTAAAATTCAAAATCTTTTAAAATGCTTAGTTTCTAAGATCTTCATAATTATGAAAATCTCTTAATCTTCATTAATTATGAAAGTAATACTTTACTTTTTTTAAATTTAGCAAAACAGAATTATGTAGGTGTATAAGCTAAAATGTCAGATCTCTCATTCATTGTCTTCCCCTAATACAAAGCTCCACTGTTAATTACTTGGAACATATCTTCCATACATTTTAATGCATATAATGACATTCATATATATGTGTAGGTGTTTTTTTTCCAACAGTGAGATTATACAATATGATCAGTGCAATTATCTACTGTTCTAATTCATTTTATTTAAAAGACTGCACAGTATCTTGAGTATCTAAATTTTTCCAACCAAGCCTCTTTTAATGGATTTTTAGATTGCTTCCAACTTTCCACTCGGACAAACAGCACTAGTGTAAATATTCTGATGTGTATATGGTTCTATATAGTCGAGCCCTAAAAGTATAAATTTCCTCTGTCAAGGTTTTTGCAATGTGCATATCTACCAGCAGCTTACAGGAGTGCCAAGATGATTCACTCTTCACATATAATTGCCAAGACCTTCCTAAATGCAACTTTTGGCCATATCTTATCACTATCAGTCAATACATAATTCAATTTTAATTAGGCATTTGGGTTTGAACTCTAGCATTGAGACTTTGGTTTTGTATTTGTGTTAACTTTAACTCCAATCAGGAGCATAATTATTACTTTCTTGACCCTACACAGTTTATGGCCATTTTCATAACCATACTCATTTTTACTGAAACATCTTGCAAATTTTGAACTCAATAATTAAGAATTTTCAGATATTTATAGATGGGTAAAGAATAATTATAATGAAAGTTCACATAGCTACAGTGCTTGATCTGAAAGCTTATCTGTAAGAAAGCTTTGTGAGCAAAGTTGAATATATTTGATAGCATAATTTCTCATCTAGTTGGTTGTTACCTACCAGATATAAAACTATTTTAAAAGTTAGATGAAGTCTATAAATAAGATGAATTAAAACTGAGGATACAGGAAACTCCCAGAATAAAAGCTTATTAGCTTGTTACGCAAGGTTTCTTTTAGTAGCTGTGTGCTAGGTACCCGGGCCAGACAGCAGAACAACTTCAGCTTGCATTGCCAGAACCTGGACAGTGCTGAGAGACCTGTGCCAGCAAGTCTGAGTGCTGGGAAATCAGAAAACTCTGTGTCCTCTTCCAGGCAGTTAGAACGATGGCTTTCTGGCACATGTCACTTGGTGACTGAGTTGTAAAACATTTTGAGTGACACTGATCTGTACACTCTCAAAACAGTCATTATTTCTAGATTTCTAACTGACCCTCCTATTCCGAACATAGGGATTTTAACTCTCTCTCTTGTCTTAGTTATTTTCTTTCCTACCTGGTCTACTACTTCAGAACTTCTAACAAAGCACATATTGTGAGACTCATCTAAACTCATGAGAATGCTTTGTGAGATCAGTTGCCAGTGAGACCCCTTTATGGTAGCCATGGGTCTTTTGGTTTTGGCTTAGAATTTTTTTAAATTTTTTTTTAATTTAAAGATGTAGGATCTGTCAGGATTGGGTACATAAATGATTTACGTACAAATGAAGTTTGGGCGTCCCACTGGACCTCACTTCACCTGGGTTAGGATCTTAAACCAAACCTGAAAATTCAACAATTTAAACAATTAAGGTTCAGGATAGAGAAACAAACAAACAAACAAATGCCTGTAGTTTGATGATGCAATACCAATGAGTAAGTACAATGGAGGAAGGTGTTTTATTAGAGAAGATGGCACATTGGATATCCATGAGAAGACGGTTTGCTTTCTGACAAATAACTTGTTTAATATATCTGCTTATAAATCATACTCTTTCATTATATCCGATATCCAGGCTCCTTACTTTTCAATGACTCTCCACTTAAATTTAACGAGGGTTGGTTCTCACACATTTACATAAATGCTAAACAACTCTATTTTGTGCAAGTCCATAAAACCCACATATGGGTTTCAATAAAAGTAGGTTTTTTCTTCAGGAAGTTATTCTGATTTCCAAAGGACAAGCATTTTAAAGAACCAATATTTCTTCTCTCTAATGCCGTAATTTAAGAACGAAGCATATTTGTCCAGCTCACACTGGCATTGTGATTCAAATGAGAAATATGAATCATAATGACTGGAATAAAACATCAGTTCAAACTCAGCCATTTTCAAAGCAATCACTGACCTCCCCTCCCTGCCTGCCACATCTTGGCATATGCAGATGTACTGCTGAATTTCTAGACTCCCATCCTTCACTTCACAGCTTTGGCATGACCCATGGTCCTTATTCTGTGATGAAATCACTTCTGGCAATTGATAACTCCCTTGTTTTTTGGAGTGGTGTCACAAACATTCCCCAAATCATCCACAGTGCACTCAGGGTAACCTTTCTAATAGGGAAATTTTAGAGCATCACTCTCCTTTTAGAAATTGTTCCATGGTTTGCCATTGCCCCCATAGTAGTTTCAAATTTAATCTGCATCATAATGTCCTAGGGAACCTAGTTCTCAACCCAAAGATTCTGATTAGTAGATGAGACCTCCTCAGTAATCCTCAATTCTGACAAGTGCCCCATATCAGTGTTTCTCAACTTTAAGTGTGCTTACAAATCACCTGAGGGTCTTATAAAATGCAGATTGTGATTCAGTAGGTCTGAGGTAGGCCCTAGATAGTGCATTCTGACATGTTCCCAGGTGAAATGGATGCTGCTGGTCCACAAACCACAGTTTGAAGAGTGAGGTACTAGAATATTCTGATGGCCAATGATCAAAAACACTGACTTAGACTCGAGGGTAAAAGTAAATACACCTAGTATGAATGTTTCCAACACATCCAGTTTCCTCTCTCACCACTGATTTTTTGTATCCTGCTTTCTTGCTGCCTCCCATCCTCAAACATCTTCCAGTCCTGTTCTTTATATCCCAGCAATGCTGAACTACACAGACTCCTACACACGTGACAAGATGTCACTTACTTCCATGCCTTCCCTCTCATTAGCCAGCAGGTTATGTCCTATTCAGCTGCTGACTAAGCCATAGGTGATGTTTCCCTATGAAGTTCTCTCAGACTTGCCCAGGCAGCTTGGGCATTCTTTGCCTTGCATTTGGATAGCACCTTGTACCTAGCCTCTTGAACAGTCTTGAATAGTGATCATATGTATTGTAGTTGTTTGTTGGAATGTTTATCTCCCCTACTTAACTGCAGGCTCCTTAAAGATAGGGGCTCTGTCTTTTTATCTTTGCATTCCAAGCTTCTACTACAGCACCAGACAAATAAAAGGCACTAAGGAAATGTATGTTAGGAATGAGTACATGAACACTCACCATGATGAAGTGGAGAGGAATCTATTAGATGTCTCTGGCTCTTTCATCTAACTTCATTGGAGCCCCTTTGCTTTGGTCACCTGACCCATGTCCATCAGTGAGTAAGGTGTAAAAGAGCTTTGAGGTGAGTTGTATCACCTCAAAATAACTCTTGCACTTAGACTTCCAATTTAAGCTCCTATCCCTTTGATATCTAGTGATTGTTTTCTTTCTAACTTGAGGAGATGAGATGAACAAATGGAAGAATTAAAGAAAGATAGAATGAATGAAGTCTAGATAGGAGTCAGTTCTGAAGCCTCTAATCGTATTTTTCTTGATGTTATTTTATCAGTATGTGCCCTCATAGGTCCATTTTCAAACTGGAAAGAAAATTTTAATTTTCTCCAGGAATCTTTATGATTAAGTCAAATATCTTGTCTATAAATGAAATATTAATTTTAAAAGGTGATTTTTGCCTTTTTTTAAAATAAACCTGCAGTTTTTAGCACCAAATTATTTTATTTTCACTTTAAATATTTCAGTCTACTGGCATTTAAAACCCCTATTACAATCCTTTTTGAGGCTTTGTATATACAGGTATTAAAATAAAAATAAAGTAGCAACTTTACTTTCTGCATTTTTTTCTTTTTGCTTATTTCAGCTTAGTAGGGACTTGATTTTGATATTGATTATTTTCCCAACATATACAGCCCTATAAATTGCTTGCTGGTTGATGAAAAATGCATCATCCACAAGGACTTTGTTTATTACAAGTAATTACACAGACAAGGTTAGACATCTTTTAACCCTATCAGAAGATCAACATCATAACCAAGAATTAAAATCTTATTTTGAAGCAGGTATTTAAGGAGTATCTACTTTCTTATTTATCTTCAGCTAATTCCCTCCTAAAAAAATCTTTATAAGAAATTATTTGAATCACATTGTTTTTAAGGCATACATTTTGCTTTTTGTCAAAAATATGTCATGTGTTTTTAACTCATGTGTATGTACACAGACTGTATTTTGACAACCATGATCTAAAATAGATTTTTTGCTCACCTGTGTTTTCTTTCTTTTCAGAATAAGTCTGCATATTGACTAATAAATCAGTCAATGGCACTTTCCATTTGTTATTGATAGCAATGTCAACAAGTTATTCCATCTGGCATATTAAATAATTAAGGCAATTTCCACCAAACATGTATCCCAATCATTTCAAGTGATTTATTTATTGTTATATTTATGTGATTTGTATTATTATATTTATCATCTCAATTTAATTCCACAAATACCCATGGCACATTAAAGAGAGACAATCATAAGCAACAGTTCATTTAAAGATTAGTTTAACAGGAATGTCAAGGGCTATTGATTATTTTAGTACCTAAAAGTCCTAGGTTTTTTTTCAATGTACAAGTTTCTGCTAAGCTAAATCACTTTCATTATAGAAATGTCTAGATTTCTGTAAGTAAATATAAGATATTGTATTCATGTTTACTATATTTCAACTTGCTAATTTAGAATCGGTCCACTTTTATACTTCTTATTTTAAGCATACCATTCAATATATTATTTATTTCTACCAACTAAAAAATGTGATAAACATAACTTTTGCTCTGCCCAAATTGTTGGAAAAAAGTAAATTTTAACAGGAAGAGTTACATGGAAGATGCCCCAGGAGATATTTTGTGTTTTGCAGCATCACTGATTTTTAACCTTGAAGACATCTTACCATCCTTAAGAGTTTTCTAGAAGAAATAAAATATAACTTATTTTTTTCTAAAATTACTATACTAATGAGATCTATAATAATATATTATCAAGAACAGTTTTTTTATTAAAACAACCTTATTGGTAGATCCAGATTTATTTTTTCCTATTTTTATAGGAAGGAACATTTCTTCAAGGATAATGGTAATCATCCAGATTTCTTGCTCTCTCTTTTTTTTTTAATGAAATGAGCATATTGCCTCCTTAGCCTCATTTGAAAACCTTCCAGTTTTCATTTATAGCTGATTTTTATTTGTTTTATTTGTTTTTAAAGTAAATAATCTGTTGGTTTTTTATTTTGTGATTATCTCAACTCAAATATGTATTTATTTCAATATTTTCACTTTTCAGAATATTTTTCTCAACACTTGGGTGAATATGAGAATGTACTAGCAGCACTTGAAGACCTAAATCTTTCCATCCTGAAGGCAATGGGCAAAACAAAGAAAGTAAGAAAATGTTGATGTTTGTTTTCTATAAGAATCTCCTCTTTGAAAAAATATTTTTCATGAAAAATCATACCTATTTTCTCATGTATCAAAAAAGTATAGATTCCTTTTTATTACTATTAACTTATTTTTCTTCACATTAAATGAGCTATTTTATTAATTCATAATGTAACTACAAGCACTATGTGCCTGAGACTACTTGTGTTGAGTATACAATGACACAAAGAGTTATTCAAACAGCTCCTAATCTGGTGAGGATTCAAGTGTGTAATTAAGTAATTACAATATGGTGTGCCAAAGAGAAGCACAGGGTGGGGTACCTCATTCATTCTGAAGGAGATGACACCTGAACACTTAGAGATAAAGAAAGCAGGGATAGCTGAACAAAAGGAATTTAAACACAAGGACCAGCATGTGCAAAGGCTCTGTCAGGAGGGGCATGGGCACTGTAGGAAGTAAAGATGGACAATAGGATAAAGTACAGAAAACCAAAGAGTGTCACAATGTGAAATGAAACTGGAGTTGGAGGGAGGGGCCACATCTTTCACCATGTTGTCAGCAAAGCTAAGGAAGTAAGCCTGTATTGTAAATGCAAATAAATTGGCATTTGGAATATCAGCCTAGGATACTCTATATCCAAATAAAAAACTCCAGAAAAGGTAAACAGAGAAAACAGAAAAAAAATGGAATCGGAATATGGTTTCTCTTTATCACTTCATAGTACTTGGAAACTGAATAATAACTTCACCTCATGGTAACTTATCTCCAGAAATGGTCATATTTTCAAAAATATCTGCTTGGTCTGACAGGCTGCTTCTTCTCATTCTTTCAGTCTCATCTTAAATATCATGGCCTCAGAAAGGTGTTCTCTGACCACCCTCTCCAAAAAAGGTCATTTCTATTAGAGTATCTTTTTTGTTCCTTGCCAGCAATTTTCAGAATGAATAACCATGTAATTTTTTGTTTGTTTGTTTATTTGTTGTCTATAAGTCAAGGGAAGGTCAGTGGTTTTTGTTTGTTTGTTTATTTGTTTTTGTTGTTTTTCATCATGTATACCCTGAGCCTAGCACAGGACCTAACAACTAAAATGTACTAAATTGTTATTGGATTAAATCAATAAATTGATTGGTCAAATGAATATTTATATATATATAATATATCCAAAATGGACTTTTAAATATCTCCAAAAAGTAAATGCTTTTGCTCCCCAAAGAAAAATTGTTCCTAAGTTCATTTATGAAACTTTCAGATTTCCTCTAATAGGAAGAAAAAGAAAATATGTAATCTTTCTTATTTCTTCATAAATATGCACCAAAATCGTGTGCTTTTCCTTGTATTAATACAGTGAGGCTTTGTGGGACTTAAATTGAGGTCAACCTGTTATTTTGGTTTCTTAAATTACAGAATCTTTTTCTTGGCATTAATGCTTAATGTTATCATACTGCTTAACCAAGGAAAACATATTTCTCTAATATAAAAATTAACAAGGAAAAAAGAAACAGTCAAAAATAAAATTAGAAAAAGTCTTTTTGTGTGATAGCTCAAAGATAAGTGAAATGCAGGAATTTTGACATTTTTCAAGCCACTGTTGAACTGACATCTCCATACTGTCTAGCACAATAGACCTTTCTGCATGAGAAATCCAGTATTTCTCTCTATATTTTTATCCAGATGAAAAATACTGTCTCAGTAGGAAGGGCTGATTGTTTCAGGCTTTTATGAAAAAATGAAATACAAGACATTTGAGACCTATCTTGACTGGCAGTACCTCTGTTTGCTGTGTCAGCCAATGGATAACATGGATTTTAGCTGCTTAACTTAAACTCCAGGAAGTGACTCAGGACAGACACAGTCTATCATTATTTTTCCTTCCTCCTCCTTCTCCCTTAACCCCAGCCTTTTGTCAGATCCTCAAGGGCTACATGGATTATTTTACTTTGTTTGTTTTTCTGGAACAAAACACCATAGGTCAAATTCCAAATGCCCATTTGAAAGTCCCAAAGGTAGCTTATGCCAGAACCCTCAGTCTGACTTTAAAATGTCACACACAAAAAAATCCATATTATGCCTGTCAATTAGTTTTTTCTTTTTTCTTTTTACAGGGAAGGTGATAAGCTAACTTACATTATCAGTATGTGAAGTGCTCGTAATCTCAGAGCAAATGTAGAATTCTGATGCAGTGGCTGAAATTCATCACATGCTATGTTATATAAACATAAATGAGATTCCCTGTTTATTGGCAAGGCTTAAAGGAGATTATCTTAAGCTAAAGTGAAGAACAACATTCTTAAAATAAGTATTTAGGGTTTGATAACTATTTTGCTAAGTACAGCTGTGAAAATTTCCAGAATTAAAATGTGTAGATATATTTTTTCTTCTGAAAGTTATTTTTCAAGCAAACACATCCTACAATACATTTGCAATAATTTTCAGAAAAAAACAGACCGGAGTCCTAGTATTACTGAGCCTTTGTCTCTCCCTTGCCTCCCACATCTGTCTTTGAGACAGATTTTGGTGATGTTTCTCTCTCTAGCATCTGTAGACACCTTCATCTCAATCTTTTCATCTCTCCTCTATCCCCGGTTCCTTTTATTTAGCACCTGGGCCTCCCAGGACTCTGGATTTTTTCCACTAGTTAACAATCACAATCTTTTCGTTTATGTCTTACTATAAAAAGAATAACAAGAGGACACAGAACTTCTGTTTGAGGCAAACGTCATTAATTACTACAATTTTATGTAGGATTTATAATTAAATTTTTCTCTTGTTTCAGGCAAAATATACAAGCTAAAATAATACCATATATGCAACAGTAAAATACTTTTACAGGCTTATATTTAATAGAAGCCAAGTGTTTTCATTCTTCATTATGGTTTGATTATAATCCTTTAAGTGTTTATTAAAAGTAAAATGAAAAAATTATTATTAGAGTTCAGAGCAACCATAGAAAATATTTTCCAAATAGTTTATTTGATATCCCCTTTGTTCCTTGAAATTATTTGTCTATATGAGTGTGTTTAGGGAAGAGGAAGTAGAGACTAGGAACATGGAAAATAAAAGAGAACTGTCTTGAAGTTGCAAGTTTCACCCAATTAGTAGGAAAGTCCTGAGTCAGACCAAAGCTTTAGAATCCTCCTTGCAATCTTGGCCAGACTTCTCAATAAAGTCCAAGGGACATGTCCCCTCATAAAAGACCCACTTTCTCTTAAAGGATTCTGCAGTTACTGCTGACTCAGAGAGTAAGGAGTCCAGGGCAGAGAAACTCATCATCTTTAACAGGGTGAAGTGGAGCAGAACTGAGATGAAAGACCTAATCCTTCTAATTCACAGAAACATGGCTTTTGGGATCATTTAAAGGCAAGAAGGGACCACTTTCAGATTGCTAATAGGGTTCATACAGTGGTGCGGGTGATTCTTGCAGGCAAAGGTCATCAGCAAGATGGAGGCTTAAATGAATATGGCAGAATAGGAGAGTGAAATCTGAGCAGCTCAGGGCTTGGATTCACACCCACCTGGCAACCACGTCATCAGTTCCTTCTAGCCATTGCTACAGTCCTGCCAAATCCTAGTGACCGACCTGACTTCCCTGAGCCAAGTTGCCAGACAAAGCCTAATGACTCTTCTTTTCTGCCAGCCTAGAGTTTGAACAAAGAGAAGAGAAATAACAGTCAATGCCAGCTAGCGTTTAAACAGCACCTTGGAATTTTCAATGTACTTTAACAGACTTATTTCATTTATTCTTCATTACATCCTGGTGAGGAGTGTTAGGCAAATGGTATTATACCCATTTCACAAATGAGGAAACCAGGTCACAAAGTGGTTAATTGATTTATTGACATTGTAAAGACAGTGATATTTAAGTCACCTGATTCTCATTTAAAATTTCTTATGTAGGGTTTCTGAGGTTCCACATTTAACATATCATAAATATTTAATTCCAAGTTTTAATATGACACAAAATATTTCTGTTGTTAGATATCTTTGGTCTTTGAAACAATTGAAATCTTCGGAGTTTGACTATGGATCAGCAAAGGCATGGAGATATTCAACTTCTCTGTCAGAATGATTTTCAGTTTTGTTTTAGAGAAATGAACAGGTGGATGTCTAGAGCTCAGTGCAATATGTGAAGAACATATGAAAGAAATTATAGACAGAAGCAGATGATAATCAAATGCCAAAATAGTAATTAAATGCCAAAATCAAAAAATAAAGGTATGTAGGCAAGGTTTTAGGAAAGGAAGTTTATTCATTTATTAACACTGTTGTCATCAGAGAAATAGATGAAACTTTAATTTAAAAAATAAGGGAAATTATCTGCCATGTCAGATAAAGGATATTTAGCTTTTTACTTACTAGAAGAATGAAATATATCCAAGAACCCTATACTCAGGAATAATCAACAAAAATATTGGCCTTCTGAACTTTAGGTGGATTTATAAAGGATCCAAAAACATCCCAATTGGATTCTAACTGATTTTTTTCCAAATAGCTAACTGGACTATTTCTTGAACAATCTCTTATTTATTCACTCACTTAAAATACCATGTCTATTATGTGCTAAATACTTAGTTTTGTGTCAGAGTTCATTATTCTGTTCCCCTGATAAAATGATCTCTTCTAATATTAACGTATTATCTTAATATAACTATTTGAAAATGTAAAAGTGTGCATGTTCTCTGATAGTTTTTCTCTACCAAGATTTTTTCCCTTTGTTCGCCATACTCACATACGTTTTCTAATGGGTTTTTTTTTTTCCAATTCTAAGGAAAATTCTATTGGAATTTTTATTGGATTTTTTTATTAGATTTGTGAAGAAATTTTGAGAGAATTGTCTTCTTTGTAATAGTAACTCTTCCCATGCAGGTGCACACATTTTTAAAAAATTTATTCAAGTTTCTTTTTATGTCTCATTAAATATTTTTATAATACTTCATACAGGCTCAAAACATTTCTTGTTAAATCAATTCATAGCTTTTCCATATCTTGTTGCTTTTATAAAT